TCAAGGCAAAGTCAAGGTACAAAACAAAAGACAGTTTTCAAGGCAAAGTCAAGGCAAAAGGCAATCCTTGAGCAAGGTGAGGCAAGGCAAAAGGCACAAATTTAAGCCAGGGGAATGTAAACCAAAACAAACAATTGTTCCTGACAAAGACTAACTTCCTGCAGCGTCTCCTTAAGGCAGTGTTTCTCAACCTTGGCGACTTTAAGTCCTGTGGACTTCAAGTCGCTAAGGTCGAGAAACACTGCCTTAAGGAGACGCTGCAGGAAGTTAGTCTTTGTCAGGAACAATTGTTTGTTTTGGTTTACATTCCCCTGGCTTAAATTTGTGCCTTTTGCCTTGCCTTGCCTTGCCTTGCCTTGCCTTGCCTCACCTTGCTCAAGGATTGCCTTTTGCCTTGACTTTGCCTTGAAAACTGTCTTTTGTTTTGTACCTTGACTTTGCCTTGAGGACTATAGTTTGCCTCAGGGACTCAGTTAGGTGGATTGGACTTGGGACCCTGGACCTTGCCCTGCGAGTTTGCTCCTACTCTGTGGACTTTCTTTGTTATATATGGGCTGTTTGTGGGGTGACTGAGAGTGGCTGCCTACAGGGTAGTTTGGGCTGGAACCTGACCGAACAATTACAGTTTGAGTACATTTTAGGCCTCCTGAAATGTCCACAATAAGCTTTCTGTAATTACTCAAGAGCGTGGATCACTTTGTGTTGATAGAAGCCTGATATATTGCTTCAGGCTAATAGAATCAGGAAAGCTTCTGGGACATTGGTAAAATACATTTTGCTAGATTGATTGCTGCATGAGCATTTCTGGTGCTTGGCTACGCAACAAATTGATGTTTTGTTGTCATAAGTAAGCATGCAGTAACCTAATACTAGCTCGTAAAACTCTGTATGTTGTGTATACCAGATACAAATTTCATTTGCTAGTGCTTAACGTATTAACCGTGTACTAATATTAATATTCATTCATGCTTACAGTTTTTTTAAGAACTGGGATTGGGCTCTTTGATTTGACCTTCTGCATAAATACTTTTCTCAGCATGCAAGTAGGCAAGTGTTTCAAGGGGGGAAAAAATCTTTTCTGTCCCTACTAAAGATGAAATTAGATTTAATGTGGAAGATCCATAAAAGGGGGTATCGGTGTGTGCATGTTTTCAAATGTGACAGTTACCATGGAAATCAATGATTCAGGCTGGGATTAAGCTCTGGGGAAACAGGACTCAACCTTTTCTCCATTTATATTTTCCCAATTGCAATTCCTCCTCCAGCTATTTAGGGGCCTCTTAAGTTTTTGGAGGAAAGCCATTCTTCTAAAAGGCCACGTGGGTTTTGAAAAAAATGATTTAAGAAAAAAAATTCTAACCAGCAATAAATGAATAGGCTCAAAACTCACAATAAGCCATATTGCATTCAAATCATGGTTTGTTGAATGACTTATAAGGGCTGGGTTCATACACTAGGTTAAGCAAAACCTAAACAGGTACGATCTGCTTGTAACCAAATTACATCAGTGGATGGAAATGACTGTTAACCATATTCATGTTATATGGTTCGTTTAGCATGTTCTGCAAACTCAGCTTTCTGGATCATAATTTGTGGTATATGCTTTGATGATGCTTTTCTTAGCCTCAGGCTGCTCCAGATACCCAGAATTCAGTTCACCGAATTCTCTGCAATGGTGATGCTGGCTGGGAATGTTGATGTAGTCATCTATACATCTAGAATTTGTGAAATACCAGTTTGACGTACTCGTGTGAAATAAATCATTCAAACCACAAAGCCTTTGCTAGGAGATGAAGTTCCCTACATGGAACTCCAATGTAGTTAACAAAACCTGCTGTTTTTGGTGCCTGCCAGACTTCTTGTCCCCTTAATTTTTTACATTTTAAAAAAAACACCTTTAATATAATGAGAGGCTACACACTGTTTCATAATAAGAATTTCTAAGAACCCTAAATCAACGTTCTTAGAAAATAAAAATAATGAGAGACTGAAGTGCAATGCATTATTTAGAACAGTGTTCTCTAATCTTTACAACTTGGCGACCTGGTAAGATGGAGAGGAGAAGTGGCCTGTGCAAGTGGCAGGTTGGCCTGCTCACACATTTGCACCAACCTGGCGCTCCCACAAGTTGAGCTGCGCACACGCATGCACCAGCCAGCCATTCACACAGCCCACTTCCAAACAAGCCATAGCACAGTAGTGTACCATGGCCCCGGGAGTTGGGGATGCCTGATTTAGAAGTTTACTACTTATGCTGAAAAAGGACAAAGATAAACAGGATTAATAAAAGTGTATATTTTTACTCATGGTTTGTAATTGATCATATTCCAATAACTTTATTTTTGAGAAGGTGCAAATCACCCCAAATTGCCATTTTGCTGGTATGCTCAAATATAGTCAAAATTCTAATTATATTGCCAATCTAAAAACTTTGGAGATCTTAGAACAATCTGGCTTTTCTTACATGTATAGTATCAATATTCTCTCCGCTTGAATATCGGAGTTAACTGAGTGAAAAAAATTGCCTATGGTATTATGTCAGTTTAATAAACATTGGCCAGAACGTTCTAATAATTGCTTCTTCTTTCTTTCTCTCTTTCATCGAAAAGGTTTGGGGACAATGGGCCAAGGCATTGTGGTATCTCTGGTGAAGGCTAAAATTCCAGTTGTGGCTTTGGAGAAGGATAAGAAGCATCTTGAAATAGCAAGGAAAGCTATCAAAGCTTCTTTGGAGCGTGAAACTTTAAGAATGCAACAGAAGGGCAAAACACTGGACATCCATAAATCTAAATTACTTCACTTCACTCTGGATTTTGGTGCACTAAAAGATGTAGATCTAGTTATTGAGGCTGTGTTTGAGGATATGGTTCTGAAAAAAGAAACGTTCTGTAAATTATCCGAAATCTGCAAGCCAGAAGCCTTTTTGGGCACTAATACTTCTTGCCTGGATATAGATGAGATAGCTTCTATTACTAACCGTCCCCAGCAAGTCATTGGTACTCATTTTTTTTCACCTGCACATGTAATGAAGTTAATAGAGATCATTCGTGGACAGCACACATCTCCTACTGCTATTGCTACAATTATGAACCTGGCCAAAATGATGGACAAATGTGGTATTGTAGTAGAAAATTGTTTCGGCTTTGTTGGGAACCGGCTACTCAGTTCTTATACTGAACAAACATATTTCCTTTTAGAAGAGGGAAGTACTCCAGAGGAGATGGACAAAATTCTAGAGGAATTTGGTTTCAAACTGGGTCCTTTCAAAGTATCTGATCTGGCTGGGCTTGATGTGGGCTGGAAATCTAGAATAGGGCAGGGCCTGACAGGAGTCAACTTACCCCTTGGAACACCTCCCCGCCAACGAGATGGTAAGCGTTATAGTCCTCTTCCTGATATCCTATGTGAGAATAGGAGATATGGTCAGAAAACTGGAAAGGGCTGGTACCTATATGATAAACCTGGGGGAAAGATAGCAAAGTCTGATCCTTGGCTTCACAATTTCCTTCAAAATTACAGAAAGGCCCACAACATGACAACTCGCACCATTACCCAAGAGGAGATCTTGGAGCGTTGTCTGTATTCACTTGTCAATGAGGGTTTCCAAATATTATCTGAAGGAATTGCATCTTGCCCAGAAGCCATTGATACCATCTATCTCAATGGTTATGGGTGGCCCAGACATAAGGGTGGTCCAATGTTCTATGCTTCTGAGGTCGGGCTGCCCAAGATTCTAACAAAACTGCAAAAGTATGCTGAGGCTAATCCTGACATACCTAAACTACAACCCAGTCCCTTTCTGCAGAAACTCGTCACTCTTGGTAGCCCTCCGTTGAAGAACTGGCCGTCACTTGTGAGTCCCCAGCAAAGCAAGTTATAATTAATGATTCCTGAAAATCATCATCTTTCCATGCAAGTGGGAGGGTTTTCTTTTCCTACCTTATTCTAAAAAAGCTTTGGGATACATGTAAATGTTCTCATGGGTCATTTTTAAGCTCTCCTTATTGTTAGACTTGGGGTGCTACCATCCTTGTGAAGACCATGCATCTCAGGGAAAACCAATGGGAACAATGCCTTTTTAATATTCCTTAGCATTTAATGGAAACCTGGATGATTGCGTAGATGATTGGGAGAAAGGATACTTGCACCAATGCCCTTCAGAGAATGGCAGAATATAACCTATGATAAGCTCAATGAAATCCTTTTCTTCTTTGAAAGAAATTTACAAAGCAAATTATCTTTCGTCAGATGGAATGAGAGCTGATAGGAAAATAAAACATAGAATATTTTTTCTACGCACAAGTTATCTTTCAACATAAGCAGCCTGTTTCCTATTCAGATTTTTTAACTGATTGATTTCAAACTATAGTCTGAAATAAGGGGTGCTATAGAATAATATCACTTTTCTGATTTCAAAAATGAGCCCACACCCTCCCTCTCCAAATGATAAATTGTTGCTCACAAAGTGCCTTTTATCATACTACTTGCTTGAAAGTACATGCTAGTATTAAGCTGCCTTGTCTCTGAATATATTTCACCAAGCCATCTTACAAGAAGAGGGGGAGAAACTTTGATCTGAAAGATACATACTATTCTGGAAGTAAATACATTCCTGGACTGAGTATATTCTTTGCTTTTGCTCCACCTCAGTCTCCCAGGCGACTGCTTTTACCAATTGCACTTCTGAATTCTGGTTAAAAAAAATATATTAAACAAATCACTGTTAAATCTTTGTATGCTTCCTTTATTAAATTAGATTGCAAAGCAAGTTTCTCAAACTTGTTACCATCCAGAATGCTATAGCAGGTAAGGTTTTGGACTGTGTATGTGTCTATCCTCAGCTCTGTTCCAGTGAACCAGTTTCTATATGTCAGTCCAGCCTTATGGGCTAATCAGAAGAATTGGAGGAGACATTTCTTATATGTGCTGCTGTCATTCCTGAAGAAGATTGAATATTCTGACACATCTGGAAGATACCAGGTTGGGGAAAGCTGTCCTAAAATTCTAAGTAAGATTTGTGAAATTGTATCACGCTTATCAACTTGTTACCTCTTTTTTGGTCATGGAAATAGATATGTGTCTTCCTCACGTTAATAATGTTAATTTTCTAACTCCCTGATTTCTGAATATCTGAAGAGTGTTAGCTTGGAGAAGGATGCTACAACTATACTATTGGTTCTAGAATATGCAGAACAAGGGAAGATATTAAAAAGGTGATAAAAAGAATGATTCTGTGTGACATAGAAGAAAACAAGAATATTTATGGTTTAATTAATAATGGCAAGGCCTTGAAATTTAGAAAGTTTTTTTTCCCAAACTTGCTATTTTTAGAATTCAGGAAATTAAGATCAAGTGCTGATATCCATAACCACCTTCTTAAATGAAACATTTTATTAGCCCTCTTGTGCTGTAATGTCCCTTCCCCCCACCTCCCAAATATTGTACAGAGAAATTGGCCATCAAGCTAATCCTCACATCCCCTTTATCACAGCATGAAGGTGCTTGGGTGTTTTTAAGAGATGTGTAGTCATGATGTCTTCAGGTCTTGCCAAGCCTGTATTATGAGAGCCTGCAGTCGTCCACTGAAATTCTTCCCCCCTGATGTTTTTGCCTTATGAACAATGCTTCAGTGATGAGGCTGGCAATTGCATCAGAGAGAGGAATATCCCAGTTCCTGTTGACTGCACATGCCCTTCCCCATTTGGTCACTGCCTTCATTTGGTCTTGGCTGCAAGAAACACCATACAGAGTTGACTTGTTGGCTTGAATTCCCCCCCCCCTTTTTTTTATAGGACATCAATTTCCAAGATCAATAGTTGCAGGAGATTAATCTATAATCTGGTTAATGGATAGTGTGGGGAACAAGCAGGAAGGAACAGTTAAGACTGCCCTGTCTTGATTGACAGGTTATTTTTGTTTTGAACAAAAGATTATCTATCTCCTAGGATACAGTCTTACAGCAAAAAAGAGAAAGAATTGGATCACATCCTGAAGCACAGGAGACATAAAACATGAAACTGGAGAGACCACCTGGAATACCCCAAAATTCCCAACTATAGGTTATAATGAAAAGTTGAATTAATTCGTTTTGCCTACTCCAAAAAGAAATGCAGGCTGAGTGGGATAAGGATGCTAAATTGTGTAGGGGTGGCAACACTGCTGGCCTTGTTGTTGAAGCAAAAATTTACACTGACATACTTTTCTGCTGACACAAAGATATGAAGAATATAACAGGGTGATCAGGCTGGGCCCACTGGCACATGAGAAATCTAATTTGTTGAGGCAGCATTGTAGGTTTTCAGAAATCCATCAAGCCGGGGTGTCCAAAATGTCTGTCTGCCTTACGCAGAGTTTATTTGGCTTTTATACAGTTTTAACAAGCAAAGCAAAGCAGGGGTAGCAACAGCATCTTATTGGTACATTTTACTTGTCAATACTTAAGTCCATCCCAGCCAGAGTAGAGGCTTCACATATCTCCCTGGTACTACCTGGTTCTCATAAACAGTTGAGGTCATTGGTCACTGAGCTCATGGCCGTATAATGCGCATGTCTGTACGTAACCTTTCATCTCTTCCCACATCTGGTTCTGCTAATTAGGGGAGCTCATAGGTATCCGAGGTGCTACTGAGATCATGGCATTTTACTGCACCTGTCTTTACGTAACCTTTCCTCTCATTCCTACGTCTCACTCTTTTTTGCTTTGTTTGACAGGCATCGTAGGAGGGGCTAGTAAAAGGATCACAATCAAAAAAGGAACATCCTTGCAATTGTTTATACAGGGCATATACTTGACCCTGAGGCAATGCAGGAGAGGGTTTAGGGCAAAAAGCTGCGATATGCATATTTTGCAAAGAGAGGGAAGACTTTGAATAAAACAGCACCCACCAATCAAAATAGCACAAATAAGAACTAAATAACGTAGAACATTTCCCACTAGACCTGTGGGCAACCAAGCACCAAAACTTTCCCACCAGTATCCTAAAGTATCAATTTTCAAATCAGAGGCCAAATTGTGTAAAATATTGAATTGGTGCTGGATAGCTCATAATTCATCTAAAAGATTGAAACAACACATCCCATCAAAACTTTCACAACCTATATGCTGGCAAAGAAGCAAATAATCGATAGCAGCATGATTTTGCAAAATAGCTTTACGCAAAGCTTGTAGTTCATGGCTAATTGCTGAAATAGCTAAAAATAGCATTAATTATTTTTACCAAATTACATACAACAACATTAATATTAAAATGAGCACACGCTGGCACACCCACTATGAATATAGCCAATGCTACATATTCTACTTTATTAAGCAAAGCTATCTCAGAGTCACAAGTGATGTCTGAACTTGCTGTTTGGAAAGCAACATAGGAATTAACTAGCTAAAGCAACATGGTGCTTCACTAATGTTAGCAGGAATGTAATTAAAAGTTTCTTGACCATGTGTAAAAAACCTTCCTTGCAAGAGCCAAACATAAGCAAAGTGAAAGAAATCTCCTTAAAGCTGTATAGTTTAAAGCAGGTGAACTAATATGAAAACAGTGATGTTTTTTACTTGAAGATCTGCAATTAACTACTTTTGCACATGTTGTATTCTCAGGAACTGCTACTATTGGAGTATACAAAGCAATCGCATCAAGGGGCAGATCATAAGCAATCAGTCCCTAACTAGATATAGTCTTATAGTTAAAGTTTTGATCAAACCAGTGAAGTGTTGAATTACTGCAGACAGGATTCAAACAGGAACCAAGCATGTAGAAAGCAAATTTTCCATGTCGTATGATTCAGATAAGCAAGAGACATCCGTGTGTGTGACATTAGCTAGCTGTACCCATAGATTTTTGCTTCAGTCATTGTTCAAGTGAGTTTTTGGGTGAGATGACAGCAGCTATCGCTAAAGAGAAGCAATAAACAATTAAACATAACAAATGATGACTAAGGAATTGGCAAAAATGGCAGCGCATAAATTTCCGAGCATTTGTTCCACGTGTCGTTGTTGCAGTACTGCTTGCACTTTGGTGGTCAGGGTTTTTCACATCACTGGACAGCTGGTCTGACAAGATCGTATTGGCCACTGTGCCATCTGTAAAGCCATGTTGGTCATTTCTGGAACTGGATACGGGGACTGGTATCATGATATCCTTAGCTGGACGAACATGCTAGAATCCACAAAGACCTGTAGAAGCAAGCACAGCATATCCTCATCCCCCTAGAGGGGGAGGCAAACAATTTTTTTTAAATGTGTTATGTTACCCATGCCAAATTAGCCAAATTGGGGGACACCAAATTGTTGGGTGCCCGATATCCCTCCTTTCTTATTTGTTTGAGAAGACTGTCCTTAAAGGACCAATTAACACGTTCCACGATGGCTTTACCTTTGGAATTGTAAAGAAGCCCATGAATTAAAACACTGTTCCAAGTTGTAGAAAATTGCAAAAAGGCCAATGAAAAATAGGTCGGGCCATTATCAGTTTTTTTTTTTAAAAAAAAGGTTTGCCCAAGGCAGTAATGGCTGAAAAAGGATGAAAAATAACATGATTAACTGTTTCTCCTGTTGAGATGTGGCCCAAAACATTCCTTTCCAGGGAGCCAGAGGGGGAACATAGGTCACATCCATTTGCCATAGTTGATTAGAAGCCAACCCATGGGGATTAACTTCTGTGTCCCCAGAGGGGGAAGCCCCAGAACACTGGGGGCAAGATGAAACAATCTGCTTGGCCTGGTCAATTGGAATATGGCAAGCTTGTGCCAGACCTCTGGCATTTTGATTAAAAAAATGATTAAAAAATGAATCTAAAAAAAATACATAAAACATGAACAGCAGCATCTGATCTGCATACCTGTTGCTTTAAGAAAAAGGTCCTGGAAAAAACAAATGACTGCTTATGTGAGAAACAAAATATAAATGCTTTTAGTCTTATAATAGTTGCTGCAAAGTTAAAAACAAAGCCATAAGATTAAGAATCAATCCTGGGTGTGATGCAAGCACCTGGAAAATCAAAAATAAGTTGACACACATAATGAAAGTCAGAAATTTAGTTTAAAAGCTTGTTGAGAAAAAATTTAGAAAGCTAAAATAGCAACAAACAATTTTAAATGTTGCAAGAACTATATTGCAGGGTAGGAAACTTTCATGAGAGTCCTTATAAGCAATCGCTCCTCTCGTTCACCCTTCATCTGAAAAAACAGTCTTGCGAAAGCAGAGAAACGAAAGCAATAGATGAATAGGAAAAGAAAAGTCATTAA